TTCTTGATTATTGAACATGAAAATTGTCTAAATTATTACTAAACATAGTTTATCATCTCGATTATTGAAAATCCTTAAATTCGTGATTTTTTGTGACCCCGTGAATTATTTCTATTTACGAAGTTCTGTAATTTTAGTTACATAGCTATGTGTAATTTTAGATTTATTGCTAGTAGCATATAAATATATATTGAATTAATTGCATAATAGTAGACACTAGACATGCAAAAAAATATACGCGAAACCGACGGTTTAAAACCGGACCAAACCGTTAGGTTTATGTTTGAGTTTTTTTCAAACCGATCAAAACGGTTTGGTTTAGGTTTGAGAAAATCTCAAACCGGTTGAAACAGTTTGGTTTGAAAATTTGTCAAAAATCGATATAACGGACCGCTTACACCCCTAGTTCCAATGCCGAATGCATTTTCCTCCGAGGAGATTATCATAGTGTATTTGGCCGCTCAAATTAAATTGGAGTAGTTAGATCATAGGAGTTAAAAATTGAATTTGGCAAAATGGAAAAGTTTGATCCGAAAATGAAAGTTCGTTCACGTAGCCTTGGGTTTGGCCCAAGTCGATATGCATATTTTTCTGAAAAAAGATAAATATTCAATTTATTTGTTTTGTTTTATTTTAAATATATAACTACATTTCAATTAAAACATGACAATTGACATAAGAGTTAGTTAACTAGAGAATGACACATGGCATAAACAGTCACATCATCAATACGCGACGCGACAAGAGATTTCTGAACATGCATATTCCGTCGTTATCTTTCAGTCCTATCGCGTATGTTTGCAAGCGTTTGCAAGATATATCAATACATCTTTTCATTTCTAACACTTGTGTGATTCGTATTAGACTTGTTTGTTCAAACTTATCATTGTCCAGGGTTTCATAAAAGAGACTTCAAAACATTGGTTGGCTCATTCTTCTTGTAATATCTACTATTACGAAAAGTAATCGTTATATCTTAGAAGATGAATATCAAGGTCCATAAGTGCAAGTGCTAGACTATATATCATCTTTAAAAAAAACACATTTATCTTGGCCCAATTCATTTATTTTCCTAAATTTCTTAGAGATTGTATAAATATTCTGTCAATAATTCCTTGTAGAATTAGGATGATAGTTTGAAGTTGAAACGATCATCTAATACATTAAAATTGTTTTAACATTTTTAGTTTATTAAAATCATTTAGAATTATTACCAACTCTAAAAATTAAAAAGAAAAAATCACATTTTAAAAAATTGATTCTATAAAATAGGCTTTAGATTAAACCCCTTTTAATAATAGATATCTTAGGAAAAAATATTACAAAATGATGTCATAGCAATGAACAAAACGACATCGTAACCTTCTTGGTCTATCCAAAGCGGCAAAAGCCTTTGTATCTTTCTTCCCCCGTTCTCCTCCTGCTCCTTTTCCTCTTGTTTGCAGTGGGGAAGGTGAAGAAGGACCTGCTCACGTCAGCGACATGGAGGGTGGGCCCGCAAGAAGAAGACAAGGAGAAATTCAACGATGGGAAGCTCTCAGTGACGAACCAACCAGCCACAACCCCCATGATGCACGTCCCTGTCAGCTGGCAGGAAGGACTTCAAAAACGACGACGTTGGAGACGACTCCCTCACTGAAATCCACCTCGAATTCCGTTACATCTTGCAGCGTACGTGTATCATGTGTGTAAAGATTTGGATTGAGGGAGAAAAGTATAGTCTTTTAGGCATGAAGTGCGACTTAACATGCTTATTAAAATGTTGGGCTCTATTGTATTTGTAATGGAGGAGAATACAAGTGCAGAGCTTGTGAGTTTTAATATCACTTTTTTTTTGAACTTGAAATAATGAGCAGCCAGCAGTTATAGTTGCCAAGTCCATGAGGCCGAAAAAGTTTTGTAAGAAGCTATAATTGGCTGTTTGTTCCCAGGGAAGATAGCTTACACTCGTTCAATGTCTGTAGGTTCGATAAGATCATCTGATTTAGGTAAATTATAACATTCATTGGAGAAATGAGTGAAGCATAGCAATGAAAACATTAAATAAACAAAGAAAACTGAAGTATTCCCGAGTTGATCAGTTTATCTAATGTTTTTGTTATTCTTTACGATAGATTTTGATATCTCCTAAATTGTATGCTATAAATACCACCTATTATTTGCAAAATAACTTCTCCCCGAGATTTGGATATGACCTTCTGTTGGAATTGCTTAAGTACAAATTATGGAAAAGTAATTTTCGTGTCAACTTTGACTAAATAATCGGACTTGATCAGATAGTCCAATTATGAAAATAAATAAATTAACTTGTTCTACTCATCGAGAAGATCATCATGTCATGTTTGGAATCTCTAAATTAATTCTGGTTGTATAACAAATTAAGGTCTAAAGTTGGAAGGAAACTAAGGAAACTGGCTAGAAATTTGTCCAACTCCGTCACTCGCTTAGCGCTCGAACGAGGAGGCTGTCATTCTGCTGTCCCATCAGCTTTATATTTTAAGTCAGGTACCTCAATTTTCCTTTCCCATTGATCACTAATTTGATGGATTAGGCCCATTTTCCGAACTTTTTCCCGTTCAATTTTTCTAGCGTGAGTTGGAACCACGAATTGTCAATTCCTCCAGAACCTACTGTTGGGATGGCTTCTGTTTCACCATCGTGTGATTTGACGGTCATTGACCCCTTACTGTTCTCCACGGTTTCTGTCATCAGGCCGAGTTATTGCTTCGTTCTGATACTATGTAAACAGTGAAAAATGTAGGAATATTGAAGACGGAGGAAACTTTCTTGTTTCATTGATTAATAATACATCCTAATACCTCCTTTAATAGTACACAAAAGATATTAAAAATGGAAATTAATATATCTAAAACTGTTAAGGAATCCCCAACAATAAATCCTAATTATAATAATTACAAGTTACTAAAATATACAAAGATACTCAAGGTAGGGAGAATATTTCCATATTCTCGGAATTTCAACAGTTTGCAAGTTGAATTAACGTCTTTATGGCTTGAAACAATCCTCAAGACAATGATACTCAGAAATTTTCCAGTTTATTGATTCACTTCGGTTTTATTCAATCAAAGGCACTTTATGGAGATGGCATTATTGTGGAAAGTACTTCAATTGATTATATTCATGCTCTACTAGCCTTTCTAAGTTATCAATTTAAAATTATAATCCTTGGTGCTCTTATATATTTTCTTGGCATAGAAGTGGCTCGATAAAACAATGAAAATACACATTTGTCAAACAAAATATGCTGTAGACTATCTAGCGGACTCAGGCTGTTAAGCCTCTAAATTAGCTGCTAATGGATCCTAATTTGACTTTAAGCAAAACTACAGGGGAGCGTCCTACTGATCCTTCTATGTGGTGCATGCTGATTGGGTGTTTCCTCTACCTTACTATCACAGGACCTGACTTGAGTTATGCATTGCACAACTGAAGTTAGTTCATGGATTCGCCAAGATTTCCACATCTTCAAGATGCAAACAACATTCTGCGCTATGTGAAAAATGCCCTGGCCAAGGGTTTTTTTCCTCTTCTTCTTCATTGACTTTACAAGCCTTGTGTGATTCGACAGTCCTTGTGTGACTTTACTGCATCTTCCTACGACAGTCCTTAATCTCATGTCTCTGAAAGAAACATACCTTTGTTTCTCGGTCATCTACAGAAGCCGAGTACACAGCCATGGCTAATACTTGTTGTGAAATCACTTGGTTGAAGTATCTTCTTGTTGATCTCCAGATTTCTCATACTCTACCTGCTGCACTCCATTGCAACAACCAATCTGCCATACATGTAGAAGCCAACCATGTGTTTAATGAACGCACAAAGCGTATTGAGTTAGACTGCCAGATTGTTCGAGATCAAGTTCAAGAAGGCTCTGTCATCACTAAGCATGTTAAGACACCATTTCAACTTTAAGACTTGCTTACTAAAGCACGGCCTTCCTCTCTTCTTTTCACTCATATGTCCAAGATGGGATTAGCTAATAATTTTTCTCCATCTTGCATGCAAAATGTGAAGTCTATCAAGCTCAATAGGTCCACAATATTAGCACCATTACCAGATGTGTTGTATGGCCCATTTTCATCTGCAGTTTAACATTTCCAATATGCAGTGCAGGATTAGCCATCTACTGCCCTTATAACAAATTAGTCTAATGTGTAATTCGTTCTTTGACAGAGTGTACATGATTGGTTAGGCTAGAATACTCTTATCTGTTTTCAGAATTTTCTTTTCGTTTCTTTTGCAGTGTATGTAACGTTGGATGCTCATTTTGTATAATTCATTCAGTGAATTGATGAATGGTATGGGATTTTCCCTTCAATCTTTTCTGCTCTTCCCTTGATTTTGCAGTATTTTCATCTAACTATTCCATTGAATTTTAGAAATTATTATTTAATAGCTATATAGTCCCAATGGAACAGAGACGCACACCAAAAAATTAGTCATGATCTAACTAAAAGAGTGTGATTAAATAACTAAAATAAAAGAAAATTTATTTTAATTTTGTTTTTTAACGCATTACACTAATCTATCATGCATGTGTATGTCATTAATGAACCTTCACTTTTTGTTAAAACTGTAACTTTGGCAGGTTTTATGACATAATTTAGCAATACATTAAAAAGGTGCAACTGTTACATATATATAAAAGTAAATAACAACACTACAGTTTCTAGATTTATTACAACTCCATGACGTCCACGAGGCACACAGTCACACACTAGCTTATAATCTAACAGAATAATTTTAATTGGTCACGTCTCCATTACCAAATAATAACTCGACTTTGCTCCACACACACACAATATATATAT